CTTTGTATCATTTCTGGCCTCAAAAACTCGCGGTGAGAGGTCGTGGCCAATGTATAGGAAAGATAGTGGTGTGCGAGGAAGATGAGCAATAACGAACTTCAGCAATCAAACAGCATCATACACATGAGACCAGATAGTCGTGACCCCGAACCAAAAGCAGAATTGCATCACGAGTTTCACCAAATAAGAGCACACCAAAAGCTCATAATTGACAATGCTGGAATAGTCTCATCATCATGATCAACGAAGAACCAATGTTGATGTCCTATCTGGCGCTCGGCGCCCAGACTACAGATGGCAGATCCTATCTAGCCTACTCTACAAAGCCGCTGATGACGTCAACAGCTCCCCGAAGTACGAGCAGTTCTCGGCCTATGCCACACGCTTCAAGCACCAGGTATGTCTCTCGTATCACTCACAACCTCGTTCCCCAACTCACAGATGCCACTTGCACCCAAGGACCACCATGCGCCCCATCCAGCATACAGCAGCGCAACTCGGCTATGGCTGCCTGCTCCTCCCAGCTCGCCCGTGAGCGCGTGAGCCTGGCAGGCGATAGCGCAGCAGCGCTTGCGCAACAAGCAGCCAGTGCCCAAATGTCCAATGCGTGGGCAGGCCCTTCCCTATACCGAAGTGGCCTGCCGCTGCGTGCTGTGCTGCGGTACTGGGCCCCGGCCCAGAAGCTTCCGGTAGGCCCAGGGAGGCTGAGCCTCAGACCGAAGGAAACATGCCCAGGGCCTGAGGCGGTTACCAGCACCCAACTGCCCTCAGCCTCTGTTCGGTCCACTTTGTGTATCCGGCCCAGGGCCTGCCTCAGTTACATGCAATGAAAGGCAGCCTGGGCCTGGGTGCTTCCAACGGACTGGCGCTGCGCAACTGCCTGAATTTCCCCAGTTGCGTAGTAGTCCAAAATAAGCCTCTTGCGGTCTATCGAGCCTGCCTTCACTTAGGGCGGCCGACGCTGTTGCAAATAGGGGTCAAGTAGGGCTTATCGAGGCCTTGTGGACCCCCCCCCCCCCCCCCCGCTATTGAAGCCGCGCCTAAGAACCCCCTGCGCGCTTATTTTTTGCCGAGCCTGGCCCTCGTGTACTATCCCAGGCCTGGCCAATTTCTTGGGTGGTACCAGAATGGGAAATTTCTTGGGTGGTACCGATACCGCCCCTTATGGTGGAACTGCTGCCTGCAGCTGGAACAAAATGCAGCATTAGTTTTCTAACTTTTCTTTTCACTCGTGTACCATCCCAGGCCTGGTCAGAAGAGCTGTGTGAGAATACCCTGAAACGAAAAGGGCTGACGTCTCCCCTTGAGAGTGGGAGTCACATTAAAAAAGGCCGAGATGCTGCATCTCCATTCCTGCGTACCAACGGCAGACTGGTGCGTCAGTGAAGGCATGGATGTCTCCCCCCAATGCGATGTCTGCACGCATGAATCGCTCGAGGACTCCGGTCACCAATGGTGGGAATGCATTGTGGCAAGAGGCTTCTGGGACTGGGTGAGCAGTCTGTGGCACTTCGCCTACGGCCCAGAGGTTGTCTGGACCAAAGACTTTATTCTCTATGGAAATCGTGACACTGATCTAGTGGCTGCTACATCCAATAAGTTCAGAGTCATGGGCTTTTGGGTGCTGTGGATGGCAAGGAGGGACAGAAGATTCAATAGTAAGTACTGGTCCCCGGCAGTCATTCGCAAAAGGATCCAAGTGCGCGATCCGTAATCTCATTTGTGCAGAATGGTGGAAGGTACGCAAGGCCAAAGGAACACTCAATAGCCCTGCAGCAAGAAGCATAAATCAGAACACATGGAACACCAAGTTTAAATGGATATCATCGACGGACCAAGGACAGTTGGTCATCTCTTTTTTTCTTTTCTTTTTTTTCTTTTTTTTTTCTTTTTTTTTATTAAGAATCGCCCGAGTGGGTGCTAGGGGTGCTGGTAAGAGCAGACACCTCTAGCAGTCCCGGGCGGGCTCCATCTATTGGTGGGGAGCAGCACCTGCTGTAAAGCGGGTCCAGCGTCCCTGAACATTGTGCTGCATGTTGTCTGATGCATATAATTGTGATGGTAGACAGCTGCTGGGCGCTCCCTTGAGCACCTCTAAGCGCAGCGAATAGGGAAGCAGAACTTTAGATTGCCTTAACTGCTTGCCTATCTGCCGATCTACATTGCAGCTGGGTTGAGTTGTTGTAGACTCTAGATCACATGACTGTTGACCAGGGGATTGAAAGCAGGCCTCCCCAATCCACTCAGCTAGAAACCATTCCTGTTTCTGTGTTGGAATCTCGGCACATGACNGAATCTCGGCACATGACTGTTGACCAGGGGATTGAAAGCAGGCCTCCCCAATCCACTCAGCTAGAAACCATTCCTGTTTCTGTGTTGGAATCTCGTTCAGACCTTCCTGCAGTTCGAATCCATTCGCACCCTGGCATATTGTGGCGGCTGAAATCATCTTGAAGCACCTGTGGGACGAGGTAACAGAACAGTGGTCCCATGTTGAGGCTTGGGGAGACTGCTAGTCTACTGATTGGGAGTGGGAGAGATTGGCCTATAGAATTCGGTTTATATTTCTGTTCAGACAGCCTATCGGGCCGAGAGATTCCATAGGCAGCATACAGTAGAGTTAGCAAGTGACTTTAAGCGAAGCTGGGTAATGCTCCCTGACCGGAAATTTTGTTCCTATTTATTCAGGGGACAATGGACCCGTTTTCCAGCAGGTGCAGCTCCCCACCAATGGACTGGGGTCATCCTTAGAGCGCCTTGATCTCGTTGGTTCTCTTACCACCACGAGACCG